TCATAACCGCAGTTCATACATATGTTTGATATGTTTGTTGTTGTTTGATTTATCATCTACGGGTTTATGTCGAATTAATTTGATGGCCTGCTCCCAGTTGGCTTGTTAGCTCAATTGGTAGAGCGCTGCACTAGTATCGCAGAGGTCAGTGGTTCGAATCCCGTACAGGCCTGAAATTTTTTTCAGGTCTGATTTTCACTATTGCTCAAATAGTGCTTTACTGCGAAGGATCGTTCACATATACGTCTCATAACCGCAGTTCATACATATGTTTCATATGTTTGTTGTTGTTTGATTTATCATCTACGGGTTTATGTCGAATTAATTTGATGGCCTGCTCCCAGTTGGCTTGTTAGCTCAATTGGTAGAGCGCTGCACTAGTATCGCAGAGGTCAGTGGTTCGAATCCCGTACAGGCCTGAAATTTTTTTCAGGTCTGATTTTCACTATTGCTCAAATAGTGCTTTACTGCGAAGGATCGTTCACATATACGTCTCATAACCGCAGTTCATACATATGTTTCATATGTTTGTTGTTGTTTGATTTATCATCTACGGGTTTATGTCGAATTAATTTGATGGCCTGCTCCCAGTTGGCTTGTTAGCTCAATTGGTAGAGCGCTGCACTAGTATCGCAGAGGTCAGTGGTTCGAATCCCGTACAGGCCTGAAATTTTTTTCAGGTCTGATTTTCACTATTGCTCAAATAGTGCTTTACTGCGAAGGATCGTTCACATATACGTCTCATAACCGCAGTTCATACATATGTTTCATATGTTTGTTGTTGTTTGATTTATCATCTACGGGTTTATATCGAATTAATTTGATGGCCTGCTCCCAGTTGGCTTGTTAGCTCAATTGGTAGAGCGCTGCACTAGTATCGCAGAGGTCAGTGGTTCGAATCCCGTACAGGCCTGAAATTTTTTTCAGGTCTGATTTTCACTATTGCTCAAATAGTGCTTTACTGCGAAGGATCGTTCACATATACGTCTCATAACCGCAGTTCATACATATGTTTCATATGTTTGTTGTTGTTTGATTTATCATCTACGGGTTTATGTCGAATTAATTTGATGGCCTGCTCCCAGTTGGCTTGTTAGCTCAATTGGTAGAGCGCTGCACTAGTATCGCAGAGGTCAGTGGTTCGAATCCCGTACAGGCCTGAAATTTTTTTCAGGTCTGATTCTCACTATTGCTCAAATAGTGCTTTACTGCGAAGGATCGTGCATATATACGTATTCATGATATTATATCTAAACATTAATATCTTCAAATTGTTTTACATACTTCGGATCATTTAGATTTACAATTGGACTATTATCTACTACATAACTATCCATACTACCCATAATTGCTAGTTAATGCTGTCTATCATAGTTACCTGATATTTTATACCTTGCCCTTTCTCTTACTGACATATARATTTAACCTACACAGAAAAATTTTTAACACGCTGATTCAAGACCATTATTATGCAAAACATGTTTCTGTAACACCCATAATTTTTTATGGAAAGCGGGTTTCTGTTTCTGTAACTGCCGTAAAAAATTATGGCAAACAGTGTTCTGTATCTTATAAATTTTTGCATTGCTTGTGACAGAATTTCACAAGTTTCTCTTGTAATACAGAAATGTTGCTTGCATTGGTGGTGCAAATATCTCAGAAGGGATATTTGGGATATAATACTGAGTGCATGTTACATTCTTTCGCAGAATGCAACTTGCAGCTCTTTAAAGAAAATTAGTTTCATCATTGTCTTCCGGCATATCGCCTGGTGAATGGCGTAGATCAAAAGCTAAGAGCATGGCGGGAATTTCGCCCGCATGGGTACAGAACCAGAAATTAGAAAATACTATTCTGTCAACACGCGAGAATTTTGGATATCCAACCCAGAATTTTGATTGAATGAAATGCGCCCGATCTTTCAAATACCAGTAATTGTATTATCCCTCTTTCTTCTACAGGTTAGGAAATACATTTCTCGTGCACCTTTCTATTTTATTTTTATTTCCAATTTTAGTCCTCTCACTTTCTTTTTGTTTCAAGTTACAGTAATAGGGTGATAGACATTTGATGGTTTGGAATCAAGCGTTGATTGTGCCAAAGCATTGGGGAAACTCACCTCTCCACATCCAAAATTCAGTTACTAGAACCCTCTAAAATTTTGAGTCTTCTCACTTCAAAACGCCAAGGCTATACACACTTATTACTAATTTACTTTCACCCTTCAAAAGGTTATCGCTTTCAAAGCTTATCACCTTGGTATCATCCCTCCATGCTCCTACGATTCCTTATTTCCAAGTGTCCACGCGTCCACTTCGTTTTCTTTCCTACACTCTTAGATGGAATTTTCATTTTTAAAATTGTTTTCATTCCTTAAGGATTCCTTGCTATGGGCGATGAAACTTAAAACGTGATGTTTTTCAAAACAAATTCACAAAAATTGAAAAATTAGTTAAAGGTACTTAATTTAACTATTCTTAGTCTAAGCTTGTTAAGTTTCAATTTGTATATTGCGATTTTCTTCAAGAAAAATACACAAAAAACATGGATACTCTAAACAGCCGAGTACATTATTATCGGTTTCAGCGATCGGCGGAAATCGCAAAAAGATGGTCCCGCTTTACTACATGGCTTATATTCCTCTCCAGTCAGAGATGATTGTCCATCTCACTTATTTTCTTAAAAGTCACAAGTTTCCTTAGCACCTACAGGGAAGGTAGCTTTAATTAACAAAAAGATAAGTACAATGGCAGTTCATAACTTGAGCATATTTGGTCTCGATGGTTTGATTGAGTTATTGTTATTCAAAGTTTCTTCCCCTTGCAGAAATTGGTTTATTGGTTTTATATTTTTAAAACATATCGGCGGTCTGTGTCGTATGAGGTTTTAACTGAACTAGCCTTATGGTTATATTCGCTAAATTAAAACTCTCTCTTTCGTCGTCTGTACCATTCTTTCAACGCTTGAAAAATCGAGTTAATCCATACTTAAAAACTGCCAGATTTTTTCAAATCCACAATTTTAAAATTTCCAATATCAAACTTTTTACTCTAGGCTCTTATATACTTCCAAACCTCAACATCATTTCACTTAAAAGCTTCGGCCTTTCCTATTCATTTCCTGTTTTGTTTTCGTTTGATTTATTTCAAGTTATTCAAGTTATTATATCGTCCACATTTTTTATATATCCAAACCATCGAACAAGCACCGCTTTTTGGCAACTTTACCAATTTACACTCAGTTTCTCCCCCATTCAAATTTAGATGTCGCCTTTAAATATTGTATAGAAAGGGCGCAATATTAACTTTAATAGCTAACACAATTACTGGTAACCCAGTAGTTTACATTGTGGGCTTTAAACAAATAATTCAAATTGAACATAACATTGTTGAGAATCCCAACTGGCCGGTGGCAAACCAGTTGGCTATTTGCAAGAATGGCCGAGGATTTGAACTCGGAGCCACCGTGAAACAAATCCACTGGTCAGGGCGGGACTCGAACCCGGTAGCGACGGATTGCGAGTCCGACACGCTGACCACTCGGCCACGCTGCCTCCTAATATAAATAAGGAATTCAAATTCATTCATCTCAAATCTTTTTCATTTCATAATTTTGAAAAATTTGAAACCTGAAGACCACACTCGCACTTATACACGTCTCGAATTCCTCACTTCTGTTTACCCCTCCCAAAGTCTCCTCTTCACTCTTACCCAACTCTCCTCAAGTTCCTAAGTTCCATAATGCCATGCGTTCACTTTACTTTAAGGATACATTCTTTTCATTCCACTTCGATGAGCTGTTGCGTGAAATGAGGCGTAAATTTGAAAAAGCTTCTCAAAACCGTCTTCCCTGAAATGGGAGGATCGATTAAAAAATTCGAGTCTGCTTAGCACGAGCTTACATAGCTTTAGTTGTTTGGGTGAAACTTTCCTCGAGAACAACATTCACACGGTGAAACTCTTTGAAGTTTGTCGAAATTAGAAGTCGCAAGCCTCCAAACGGTCGACTGTGTCGTCATGCTACTCTACCATACAGTCTTTTATAATGGCAAACTTTTATTAAATGAAAACTAAACTTACTCGGTGATGCACTAAACATGTGAGAAGCTTAACAGTACAAAATTCCTGTTGCATTTTCCCAACACTGCAACTTTCAGTTTCAACAACTCACGGTTTTAAAGCGACAAAACTATCAAATAGAATATATGACTTGACAGATCCTCGACCAACGGCGCGGTTAGAGGGAACTTATTATTCCTGATGTTTTGTTGTATGAACGGCAGATCTAAGAGCCCCCTAGGCATAAAATATTCCGCGCACTAACGAGAACGCCCTCAAATCGAAAGACGAGGAAATGAAGCATAAAATTTGAAAAAGCTTCTCAAAACCCTCTTCCGAGAATGGGAATATCGATTAAAAAAATTCGAGTCTGCTTAGTACGAGCTTACCAGCTTTAGTTTTTAGGGTGTAACTTTCTTCATTCGAGAACAGCATACGCACCGTAAAACTCTGAGGTTTGTCGTATTTGGAAGTCACGAGAACTCTAGACGGTCGAGTTAGCATAAAATACATGTTGACTCGTCCTAGCTAGCTCAGTGACGGCTTACACGCGGGCCGGGATGCTGTAGTTTAAAACTTGACGTGAAATCGGTTAAGACCCATCTTAAAGAACGTGAGGAGCTTACCGGTACAAAACTTTTGTTTCATTTCCTGGCACTGCAACCTCCGGTTTCAATAACCATCACAGTTTCAAAGCGGCAAAACTATCAAATAGGATGTACGACTTGTCCGATGCTCGACAAATAGCTTGATTACAGCGGGCTTATTATTCCTGATATTTTGTTGTATGAACGGCAGATCAAACGGAATGCACTAGACGCGAAATATTCCGCAATAAACACGAACACCTTCAAATCGAAAGACAAGGAAAATCTTACGCATCACTTGATTGAATAGTTGTCAATCATATCCAATGTTATGCCCTGGTTAGCATTTTCTCTTCTCACTGAATTAATCAAAGTTCAACAAGATTAACGTGGAGGCCGTCTGCTCTTTAGAGAGAAGGAGTTCGTTGTTATTCCTAATTTTTGTAACTGGATGGTATAATCTCTTCCCTGAAAACGAACGTTCTACCGACTCCCGGTAAATTGAACCCTGAAAAAAAAAACATGAAAAATTGTGTTCACTGTATATTTATGGTATTTTGTATCATTTTAATCATAGTATAGCAAAGGCAGGTAGTACAGAAAATTATGAGAGATGGATTGTACCAGCAGAGCTTAAGGGATGGTGTACAGAATGCTCTGCTGCTAAATGTACCCAAGGAAAACTTAACTGCACTAAAACGTAGTGTGAAATGATGAAGGGCAAAAGGAAGACATAATAAAACAAATATGAAGTAAAGCAAAATGGTAGTTGGGGCGAATATCAAGGGTTATAGGCTATCAAGGGTAAAATAGCGGGAACATTATCGCGGAAAAGAGCGAATATCATGACTTTGAGTCGAGTTAACACGGCGAAAATCCAGTTAGTGAGTGCTCCAGTTATCAAGAGTCCATTGGGAAAGTGGAGTAAGTAGAGTGCCATTTTATAAAGTGCGATTTTATCTGGTGAGTACTCAGCGGACAGCTACCTCTGCAAGGCTGCATATGTTAAAAAAAAATTGTGACCGGCTAGAAACCTCACAGCAAGCCTCCAGTGATGGAACAAGTTGCAGTTAAACTGATGAGGATTCGTTAGAAAAATTAGGAATTAAGATTCAAAATGTATAAAAACTGGAAACAGTCACAAGAAATATTGATGTTTTAACTCCAAGAAGACGTCATTTTGGATCGTATGATGAATTCTGTGGCATCCGTAGGGCGTCAAACGATCATGCATTGCGGCGCGTTCAAATAGCCCATACCAGTTTAGCCTGTGTACAGCCGCCCAGTCCCCTCATAAAATCGGGAAGGGGGGCGTCTGTGATTTACCGTTGCTAATCGTGTCTGGGAATAACTTTGCATAGATCAAAAATCTGCTTTCCGCTGACCAAAATTTTCGTGGTTCGTCTCAACTCATTCCGATTTTCAAAATAGCGGTCAATGTTACTACTTTTCATCGAGCAATTGAGAGTGTTTGTGACGTTTTTAAAATTGCTTCACTCTATACCGAGCAAGAAAATGTCTTCAAGCCCTTTTTGAAGGAAAAGACGTGTATGCAAGTCTTCCCACTGGATACGGGAAATCATTAATCTTTTATGCAGCCCCAATCATCGCCGATGAGCTGTTCTCGCGTCCACAAGGTAGTAGTAAAACAAGTGTTTACTTTCGATTGGCTTGGCCATTCAACAGTCACTTGAATGCATGTCTTCTTCTCTTCGACTCTGCGAGAAGCAATCGGCGATAAAGGAGGAACCAGGTCAGGGAACAAACCAGCATTGTGTTTTTCTTTACATGGTGCCGAAGAAAGCGGTAATGTCTCAGGTGATTGTTCCGAAGTTCGCAGATCCTCTAGTGCGACACGCTTTGTAGCTTGTTCTTGGCAATCGTCCGTAATGCTTGAACAAGGAGTAGGATTCGCTTTAACGGGTGACAGGAAAACAGAAGAAGAATATTTCGAGCTGATAATTTTTCGAATCATAGAGTTCACTACACAATGATTCGTCAAAAGAGCCCTTCGTTTCTTTAAAGTCGACAGGTAATTTTTACAAATGTAAGCGGAATCTATAGACACTTCACACTCCAGCGACAGCAACTCCTCCCGGACGTTAAAACTAGAGCTCTTCCGTCCATCAACAAGATTTTTATCTGAATTCTGAACGATGTTTTTCCCACAATGAACACACAAACTCACCGCTAATTAGCGCACATGTTATTGTGAGAACAATGTGTACTTTGAGACAAGGCTTCACATTTCAGAACTCAATTCCCCGCGAAATTGATAGCCAATCGAAACCCGTGGTTCACATGATATAATGATCTACGAGTAACAGCCAATGAGATCAATTTCCGCTTATTCCGTGAAAAATCACGTGGTGCCCAAACACGATTAGCAATGGTAAATCACAGACGCCCCTTTCCCGATTTTTTTGAGGGGATGGGGCGGCTGTACACAGGCTAATATCAGTTTCGATTTTTTCTCACCCTCAATTCTTCATTCTAAACCATTTTTACTTTAAATATTATTATTGGTTGATTTAACGACGATTAGTTTCAACGGTGGAGGTTTCCTCTACGGGAAGAATCGACTTAACCTTAAGTACGAATCGACTGCATTTGGATATGAAAAGACTGGGTACGAAACGACCGGAAACCGGGTAAGGAATGCGCACACAGGAACAGTGGGCTATTTCTTTCGTCTATCCCAGTCTCCGTTCAGAGTCACGTCACTACGGCCCCACATTTTCTTGCAGGAAAATATTTCCAGCAAACATCTTGCTACAACAACTGCGCATTTTCAACTCGTAAAAGTGTTTTATTAAATAATGTTCTTAATCTTGGTTTTTAAAAAATTTTCATAAGAAATATAAATATTGATGGGGATGCATATTGTATTTCACTATTTCCTTTTCCTTCAAATATACTGCTAATCTTCAGGACACTCCTTCAACATCTGTTCAAACTTTTCTCGTTTCCAGAACCTTCAGCCTGTCTATTACAACTAGGCCGAAAGTTACACACGATCATTACACTGCGCAGACTCACATGCTGTTACCTTCCTGGAAAACAGTGGCAAAATGGGTGCGCATGCTCCGCTACGCGAGCCATTTGAGCCTTCGCGGCTACGATTCTTAGTCTGCAAACATAAGCTGACATGTGTTTTCCGCCGAAAAAACCAACATTTTCTCCTGTGGGTTTGTCTATAGAGGAGGCGATGATAAGAAACGCGAAGGAAATTAACAGGTACTACGAACTTCGTAGCCATGTGCTTCTGTGCTTCCTCGATTTCACTGTATTCACAACTGTTCCAAAAAAATCCTTTCTTGTTAAGTGAGATATGTGATGAAGGAAGTTCGACAGAAACTCTACTGAAAACGGCAACCCTTTCTGTTTTGGCTAAGGCTTATCCCGCGAAATGAAAATAAACTAGTTACCAAACATGCGCAGTCATTTTGTGGCTGTGTTCTTTTCTGGCAAACCTTTTGACTTGTGGGGGTATGTATTACTTTATGCCAAAAAAAAAAAAAGAATGCCATGGCGAAGGATAGACTAAATTTTGAATACCTATAGCTCAGGACAATCACTTAGAAGTCATATTTCGGTCTTGTCTACATTTCAAAACCGATCGATCTTTCTAAAGAGACATATTCCTAGGCAAAGATTTCCTTTGTCTCATTTTCAAACATTAATATATCAGTACTACAAGCAACCTCTACAACAGAACAACATTCAAAAAAACAAAAACAACAAACAACAACTACAAAAAACACAACACTGCAATAACTTTTCGAACGGTTAACATAAACAGTTTCTCGCCAATAAACATAACATTTAACATCAATTTATGATTTTTTTTTGTTTCTTTTAACAATTTGCCAGCAATCCACTTTCTTCTTGTGACTTACAGACTCAAACAGACTCAAACAGCTTACAACTTTGTTGTGTCACTCTTAAACGCGACGATCAACAACGTCTTACGAAGCCGGATATTTCCATTAGGTACTAAATCTGAAGCACATCTTTCAGGTCATACACCGAAGCCTAATTTGAAGGCCAGCTCCACGGCACTTTGAGGCACAGACTGATGGTGGCACACATACATACAACTCCTTTCGATGTTCCCCTGAAAATAGGCGCCTAAAGAGCAGAGAGTCGTTCTTGTTATCTAACAGCCAAAAAGTATCAAAAGGAGATGCTAATATATCACAAGAGGGCAATGCTTTTTCTCAAACAAATCAATCAATGTATCGATCCATCAATCAATATTGACTAGCCAGTTGGCAGATCACATAATCACACAAGAACCAACACTGATAAAGACCTGCATCTATGACGGACCGACCACAGTTATGACAAACAATTCCTTGGGTTCTTTGTAACCTGGAGAACTTTATTACCAAACATTGCGTCTATGCTCAAAAGCAAGGCGTGTTGAAATGTCAATGGTTACATCAGAACGTATGTTTATAAAACCCCAACAGGTCGCGAATTTTGTCGGGTTTGTGAACTTACCCTATCACCCAGTATTTTAGGACAGAAGGAAATTTCTTCTGCTCTGTGGAACTCTCTGGAGTCCTGTGAAACAGTGCGCCATGGTCAACCACTCCCTGCATTCCAGAAGAAGTGAATCGAGTACGGCTGCCACCCTGTTTTGAACACTGTAATCAAAACAATTAACATATTTCGATTGCGTTGTGTCTGGACGAATAAGCTGATAAGAATTTTTAAAATGCTTGACCTATTTGTGAGAACAGAAGGGATTGAAAGGAAAAAGTATAAGCCTATCACCTCCTTGACTCTATCAATTAGGGGCTTAATTTGTGATGTGGCTGAAGAGACCAGTGTTTTTTGGTGTTCATTACACTGCTAGAACGTCAGTAAGGTGGTGTTCAACTCACCTGTTTGTAGTAGGGTGAAAACAGCCTACGAATGGACAGACATGTTTAGTGAAATGAGTTCACCACCCTCAGCCTGAACTCTTCCATTGAGGAAGGACGTGTCTCCATTGCTTGGACACACCACAATACCTTGAAATGACTCCCAGCTGACGTAGTTAAACAGCGTGTTCTCTGCACCACCTGTTAATCTGATAGAACAAGATTGACAAATCGGATAGAACAAATGAGAAATCTGATATAACAAGATTGACAAATCGGATAGAACAAATGAGAAATCTGATATAACAAGATTGACAAATCGGACTCCCGCGATGTTGTAATCACTCGTATGATTGCGGACTGAATTGGACTCCAATCAGTC